GTCTCTGTCTCTCTCCCTCTGGTGAGCTTTTGTCCCTTATGGCCAAAACCTAAAACCAAAAACAAAAACAGAAGCTGAGTTCATAGACCTTCCCAAAGCCCCTGTGTTGGTACGGCATTTTCTCATTTATTTTTAAAACAACTTTGGAGTGGGCTGGCCCTGTGGCCTGGGGGTTATGAGAGCTGGATCTCACATCGCTGAGCACACAGTGGGAGTCCCAGACCCAGTGGCTTAAAAAACACACCAGGCGTATGTGTGGGCATGTGTGCCCCAAATCCCAGCAGGAGGGAGAAATGGAGGAGAAGGGATTGTGGCATGACCATGCCCCATTAAGGGGTGCTTTCTCCTTCTCCCTCTTTGTCTGGCTCTCTCTGGCTAGGGCACATGCCCTCTGGCACAAAAGGGGGGGGAAAAGTGATTTGGAGGCTTTTCTGTGTAAAGTCCAAAATACTCGAAGGGTTATATTTGGGGAGTTCAGCGGGACTAGCCCTGGTGCACAAAGTAACCGGTCAAAGTTGTGCTTTCAAAGCTTTGTGGAGAGAGGCCTCTTGCTTTCCGGAAGGGCTTTTAGCCATCATTGAAAAGCTCTCTTGGAACGCCAGTGTTGCCCTGACAGATAGGACCCGGCTGTGGATTCCAGAAAGGGAGGTCATTTCAGATTGCTGATACGGTTCGTGGGAGTCTAGAGAGATGGCACCTTCAGGCCAGCAAGACCTGAGGTCCCCTACTGTGACCCTCCCTCAGCACAGATGAGTAGGACAGGGCCACCCGCCAGCCACAACACTGGTTGGCAGCAGAGGGGGCGTACAGCTGAGGTAGAGCGCTTTCTGCTTGCGTCAGTGGATGGGGTTTTAAAGAGGTCATTAGTGGAGGTACTGAGATGGATATGCATACGTCACACCTACATGGCCCCAGCCAAGAACTTTCAGTCCCACAGAGCCAGGGCAGCTGAAGGAGCACAGCCAACCAGTCATGGAACTGAATGCATGTCCTGAGCATCATGGAGAACATGAATGACTGACAGGGAATGCCTTAAGACCTACCTGTCTCCTCCACCTCCCCGTCTCCTCCAACCCACTGCCCTCAACACCCCGGGATGAGACAGCCTTGTCTTCCTCCATGTGCCCATCCCCACAGCACAGCCGCCTCCTCTGTCCCTGGGCTACCCCTGCTGTCCCACTCCTGCTCGGGTCCTGATTCCTGCCCTTCCAGGAAGGAATGTCAAGGCACTGCAGCAGCTGGAACCCACACTGGCTGCTCCTCTGCTCCCTGGGAGTGGCTTCAACACAGCCGAGGACGACAGATGTGAAAGGCAAAGGGGAGGAACAAATTGGCTGAGCCTCCCCCGACCCTGCCCCGTACTGTATGACCTTGCACCCCACTCTTCTCACTGATGGTCACAGGCCTGCACGGGCTAATGGTATCACAACAAGCTTCTCGACCAGTACTAGTGAGGGGCTGTCACCAGGGCCAGAAGGGCAAAGGAGAACAGCAAAGGAAGCAGAGACTGGCACAGTGGGGTGTGACCCTAGGGAGACACCTGCCACACATGTCATCTGACATGGGAAGACCTGCAAGATCTCACCCTCATATGGACAAGAAGGTGCAGGGGTCACTTACAGGCCTGACAACCACAGATGAAAGAGTCTGTCTATGCAAAAAGATGTAACTGCAAATGGGGGCAGCCGAGGACCCAAGAGAATGCTGTACTTCAAAAACAAACACACAAAAACAAAGCAAAAACTGGGCCAGGTGGTGGTGCAGTGTTAATGCAACTGGACTTAGATGAGAAGGTCCCCAGTTTGCATCCCAGTATCTCCCTGTACATGCTGGGCATGCACATGTGCCCACGATCCTGTCTGGCTGAGACAGGGTGGACTATGACATGAAGATCCTGCTGGGGAACCTCTCTCCCTCCCTTTCTCTTTTGGTCTCTGTCTCTCTCATGGAAGAAATGAATAAATGTGTTTTGTTTTGTTTTAAACCATCTTCAATCATCTTTGCTCACAGGGAGCTTATATCTTAGTGTATTAGGTGGTGACTTTGGACAAATCACGTCCACTCTGCCCAGAGCATCTTAGCACTTGGAGAAGGAAGGCTTTAACAAGAGAACAGAGTTATGCAAGGACTGCTTCGGTGGCTTCTGAAGAGGAGACCGAATATACTTTATAATTGCTTACATGGAAATAATTCAAGAACAAAGATTGTGTCTGTTATGTCATCAAATGACAGGGTTTTCAGAAATTCTGGAGAAAGAGGTTACTGTCCTGGGTCTTCAGATAGATTTTCCAGGAACTTGTGTTCCTGCTG